CTACTGTGTTAGGTTTAGATCTGGTACTGGGGGAGGCAGCTCCCTGGACATGGACGGATGAGAAGGATCCTCCAAGCCAGGAGTAGGCAGAGACTGCAGGGAGTGAGGTGAGAGGCTATTTACAGTGATTTTCTCTAGATCATCACCTACCGTGACTACCTGCCCCTGGTGCTGGGGCCAGCGGCCATGAGGAAGTACCTGCCTACGTACCGCTGCTACAACGAATCAGTGGACCCCCGTATTTCCAATGTCTTCACTAATGCCTTTCGCTATGGCCACACCCTTATCCAACCCTTCATGTTCCGCCTGGATAGTCGGTACCGGCCCATGGGGCCCAGTCCCCGCGTGCCACTCAGCAAGGTCTTTTTTGCCTCTTGGAGGGTGGTGCTAGAAGGTGAGTGGGACCTGGGTCCAGAGAAGGAGGGCTGGAAACCAGGGGTGGGGTGCAGGGAGCTAGGGGCATGCAGGCAGCTAGGGTGTGGGGAGATCTTTCTTCTTTGTGTCCTTCAGGACCTAGTGTTACTTTTCTGTCTCAGTATACCTGACTCTGCTTTTAGACTTGAGTATAAACAGGAGGGGTGGAGAGGGCATGCAGAGGGAGCTGAGCCCCTCCTGTGTGTTGTGACTGTGGCGTGGAGGCCGGGGGCTAGGAGCATCCCAGCCTTGCATGTCTGATGTGTTCGCGAGGGTCATGTATGTCCTGGGAGAAGCTGCTTACTGTGGTCACCTTAGCACCAAGTCCCCTGTCCCCACACGGACTTGTTTTCACTTCCATCTGTGCTCTGGCACTGAGGGGAACCCTCCTGTCCGGCTTGTCTCTCTTGTCCCCAGGGGGCATCGACCCCATCCTCCGAGGCCTCATGGCCACCCCTGCCAAGCTGAATCGCCAGAACCAAATAGTGGTGGATGAGATCCGGGAGCGACTCTTTGAGCAGGTCATGAGGATCGGGCTGGACCTGCCGGCTCTGAACATGCAGCGCAGCCGGGACCACGGCCTCCCAGGTGAGGACTCGAAGGAGTCTCCTCAGTCCTATCCCCCAGGTAACCCGTGGCTTTCCTTCCATTTAAGGGCCTTACCCTTTCTAGTGTCCCAAGCAGCTCAATACTTCCCCCACCCCAACACCTTGACAGCATCTTGTGTGGTTCTTACCTGGCCTAAAAGTGTCCCTACCAGGGTGCATAAATTGTATATGGTCAAGATGGTCCTCCAGTCTGTGGGCGAGGCTGTGGGCTCAGGGGAGTCCTGTCCCCCAACACCTTTCTTTCAGGAAGCTACCTAAGGCCAGTCCCCTCCCTCTCCTTGTGCCCTTTGGTGATCTCCCAGCTTTTCTGGGGCCCTTTGGCAAGCTGTGACCCTCCGAGCTATGACAGCATCCTAGTAAAAGTAATGCATGGCCTGAAAGGCTCTCTCCACCATGGGTCAAGCTTACCATCCGTGACTCTGAGGGGGAAGAGACTGCCACCTCCACTTGACTCATGATTACGTAGGTTGGCTGACATTCTAAACTGGGCTAGGTGTTCTAGCCAAGTCAGGGATGATCTGGAACTTGGACCCAGACTAGCCTACCCTTACGACTTGTGCATGTGTTATGGGCTAGCCTCTGTGACAGACATACCCTACCCCTCTTGGGTCAGACAGATGTGTGGGGCTGCTCCAGGAGATAGTGAGATGCTCCTAATTTGGACATGATGGGAGGTGTGTGGGAGGGCAAGGGAAGGACAGTGAGGCTCAGAGGGGACCCAGTTATCTCCCTAGGTCTTGAGCCAAGGGTTCAGGGTTCCTCTGCCTGTAGTTTTGGCTCTCACCACCTTACAGAAGCAGAGGGACCTGCCCATGGTCACCTGTCCCCTTCCTTGTACAGGGTACAATGCATGGAGGCGTTTCTGTGGGCTTCCACAGCCTCAAACAGCAGGTGAGCTGGGCTCAGTTTTGAAGAACCTGGACCTGGCCCGGAAGCTGATACAGCAGTACGGCACGCCCAACAACATCGACATCTGGATGGGCGGGGTGGCCGAGCCCCTAGAGCCCAACGGCCGTGTAGGCCAGCTCCTCGCCTGCCTCATTGGCACCCAGTTCAGGAAGCTTCGGGATGGTGATCGGTGAGGAGGGGCCTGGGCAACTCAGGCACACTGGATGGCCCTGGGCTCTCCTTGAACTTATTTTCCAGGGAAGCTCCATGTCTCCTTAGTATGCCCTGAACCTGTAGGGGTGTAGCATGGAGGACACAGGAACCCTGATTGTGAAGGACAGAAGACAGAAGAAATGGCACTTTCTTTTCTCTGCTTTTATGTGAACAGTTATAGAAATGTCAGTCACTACTGAATAGTCACAGCATAGCTTTCCCATGACTTCTCTCTGTGCCACTTCACTGTGGCTCTGACATCTACATGTCTAGCTGTTACCCACCCTCTGTTGGCCCTCCAGGATTCTTCCCAGTGTCTACGGGTGCAGCTCTGTGCACAGGGCTTCATGCCTGAGGGTGGACCTGGCAGCTACTGGGCTGCAGCAGTGGAGGCAGCCAGGCGGCCGTGCTGAACTCTGTGCCCTGGGTAGGGGGCCTTCCCATGGCCTGGAGTGCTCCCGTGTCACAGGGCAGAGCCTTGTATACTCCTCTTGCATCCAGGAAGCAACTCAAGCCAGGCACCCCCCACTGGTCCAGGACCTACCGTGCCAGTGACCCTCCAGGCACACAGTGTTCGTGACTCCTCTTGCAGGTTTTGGTGGGAGAACAAGGGTGTGTTCAGCATGCAACAACGGCAAGCGCTGGCCAGGATCTCCTTGCCCCGCATCATCTGTGACAACACGGGCATCACCACTGTATCCAAGAACAACATCTTCATGTCCAACTCCTTCCCTCGGGACTTTGTCAAGTGCAACACTCTCCCTGCATTGGATCTGGCTTCTTGGAGGGAAACATAGAAGGGAGGTGAGAGCATGCTGTCATGAGGGGTCCCCCTGGGCTGGCCACTTGGTACGGTGGGGAGCTCCAGTCCTTGTTCAGGGTGCTAGCTGAGAACATACGAGGGCATTTGTGTGTGTGTGTGTGTGTGGTGTGTACTTGAGTGCATGCCTATGTGTATGTCTATATGTGCACCTGGAATATGAAACAGTATGCATGGGTCATCTGTGAAGATGGGTAGAATTTTATGTGCTGCGTGTGTCACTGAAGTGAGTGTGTGCTTGCTGCGCGCAGGACTCTTAAGTGTATTGAAAGCAGCAGAGCAGACTGATGAGAACAGCTCAGGCTGACATCCTGGCTCTGCAGCTGATGAGCTGCGTGACCTTGGACAAACTACTTAATCTCCCTAAGCCGAGTTTTCTTCCTTGTAAACAGCAGCTATGGCTCCTTCAAGGGCCCATTTGCTTCCTGTAGTTCTTCATCCATTGAGCACCTACTATATGTCAGACGCTGTGCTAGGCATGGGAAACTCAAAGCGGCAGGACCCATACCGTTGGTACCCTCAGGAGCTCGCATAGGGACTGTGTCCCGGGTAGCAGGGTGAACCAGTGGCCCCTGGAGCAAGGAGTGAGCAATCTTTAGGGATTGGGCCATGCAGCCAAGTTCTGGGCCTTGCTGGTTGGGCTCAGCCCCAGGTCTCTTTTTTCTTACTCTGTTCTCTTATTCGCAGGATCCTTCTTGGAGAGGAGTAGGGGCCGTGGGTCCTTCTGTACCATTTGTTTGTACCTGATGTTTACATAATAAAACACGGAGGATGGGGATTTCTGTCTGTCTGTGAAGGGAGTAGGCCCTGAACTTGAACCTGTGTGGTCTGTGTCTTAGGGCCGCTTGATCTTAGCCAGGGGCAAGGACTTCAGGGTGTCCTCCTTTGTTCACACATGCAGGGCAGATGGTTCTTAGAAATGCAGGGGGCAGGCCACCCACTGAGCAGACCTTCATCCCTCACCTCCTGCCACTGCCACCTTGCAGAACCTGGATGTAGTCACCAAGGGCTAATGTTTGTTCATTCTGTGGCAAAGGTTTGCTGAATGTTTATTCTGTCAAGTGCTGGGAAGCAGAGGGCACTACTCTGTGGGAGTGAAAGAGCCAGGGTCTGGTGGGAAGGGCTGCTCCCCATGACAGAGACCTCAGGCTCCTGCATCCCCGGAGTCTGGCACAGTGCTTTGGAGGCTCAGATTGTAGACTCCTCACTCTGAGTTTCAAGTGATCAGGCCGAACAGTAGGGACAGCAGATGGCTGGGCTCAGAGGGCAGGTCCAGTGCATGCCCCTAGCAGTCTTGCTTGGCTGTGGACCCCTGGATGGTAGATTCCCCCACAACCCTCCCAGGTTTCTGCACAAGGGAGAGGGCCACCAAAGCTGGGAGCCACAAGGTTGTACTCGGGGTCCCTGGGGAAAGCGAGGCTGCCACCAGGGTGCACAGCAGGACAAATCTCCTTGTCCTCACCTCACTGATGAGGATTAGGCTGCTTGGAGGAAGAAGAGGGCTGCATCCGAGGTTAGGACGAAGTGGGTGCCAGAGGCAGGCTGCAGCCTAGTCTTTTGCCTTGGCTCCTCCCATGGAATATAGCTAAGTGTCTTCTCTCACTCCATGACTTGGGGATCTGGACTGCCCTTACTCAGGGCCATTGGAAAAGAGGAAGGTGTGAATGTATATTGGGGAGGAGCTGAAAGAACATTCCTGAGCTGCCCATTTGGAGGTTTGATAAATCCCAAGCACTGCTCTGGAAGGGAAGGGTGTTCCCCAGACTGCTGGAAAAGAAATACATTTTAGCAGGAGGGGAATCCAGGCTTGTTTGCCCTGTCTGTTTGGTCCTTAGGCACCCCCCCCCACCTGCCTCTTTCCTGCCACCTCACTGCTTCATGTCCCCAGGAGCCCTCACCCCCTCCTTTCTTCAGCAGCTCATTCTTGGAACCCCCTGCAGACCCACGAACACAGCACTTTGGGCAAAAGTCATGTCTGCACTGTAAATCTGTAGTTACTTAGTTGGTGGTGATTCCGAGACCTGGCTTCAGAAAGAAACGGGGTCCTCAGCAGCATCTTAGTCAATCATCGATGTTTACTGAGTGCTTAGTGTGGAGCACCATGCGGAGTGCCACGCCATGCTCCAAAGCTTATGATCTAGCCTGGGAGGACAGGAGGAGAGCTAAAGCTCACAGGCCAGTGCCTCAGCCAGCCTTATTTAGGGGAGAGGTTGGCAGACATCCACCAAACAGGACTGGCAGGGTGTCTCAGAAGGTCTAAGTCATGAATGAAGGGAGGATTTCCACGGGGCTGGAAAGGCTGGGTTGGGAGGGATGGAAACCAAGCAGAACAACTGCACAGGCCAGGACGGCTGTCATTAGACTTGAGCAAGCAATTCATTGGGTGAGTGCAAGACAGGCTGACAGGATGGTTGGGCCTGGGGTGCTCAGCTTGAAGGGACCAGGTCACTGAGTGTGTGTGAAATGCCATCGTGGGCCACAGGAAGTTTTGCTCTGCAACATGGGAGGCCGGGAGCCCAGGCCTCTACTTCTCCTCTGAGACCCAGGGGGAGAGATCCAGCTCCTCAACATCAGAGCAGTCCACAAAGCCTTGGGGGTAGCTGTTGGCCCGGAATGGATTCAGGGGGACCTTGGTGATGTGGGTGTTGTCACAGACAAGGCGGGAGAAGGACATTTTCCTCAGGGAGGCCTGCTGCTTCTCTGTGAAGACTCCTGGGTTTTCCCACCAGAATCTGCACAGACAGAAAGAAGCAGGTTGTCAACATGGTCTGGCTGGTGGCCCCTCCCCACGATGACAAAGGAGGTCACTGTGACCATGAGAAGTTGTACTCGTGCTAAGGAGTTAGTCCTCATGAAGGACACTGGGACAGACTCATAGGGAAAGAGTTTCCCCGGGTTTCCCCACCTCCTGGAGCAAAGGTTTCACTTGCCTGTCACCATCACGGACCCGCTGGAACTGGTGGCCCAGGAGGCAGGCCAGGAGAGGCCCTACCCGGCCCCTTTCCACTAGCGGCTCAGCTATGGCTCCCACCCAGATGTCGATGTTGTCAGGTGTCCCGTAGAGATCCAGTAACTTCTTGGCCAGCATCTTGTTCTTCAGCACAGCACTCAGCTCTTCTAGGGTTTGCGGCTGAGAGAGGCCACAAAAGCCTCTCCAGGAGTTGTACCCTAGGGTGGGAGGCTGAGGCTGTCTCATGGCAGGGACTTACTGCTTATTGTCTTATTCGGGGGTATACCCATTCCAGCTCCATTAGGTCCAGAAAATCTGGACACACAGCCTCTGGAGCAGCAGGGATACTGGCTACTGTTTATATCTGTGGTACTTTGGTCTTGTCAGGTGGGGTGGTGCTGGCACCTTTCTGGGTACTTAAATGGGTCCAGACACTGTTCTAAGCACTGTACAGATATATGAATGAAGGAGCAGAAATGTTAAGTGACTTGCCCCTGGTCCTATGACTAGGAAATGGCACAGCTAGGATTATTATTATTATTATTATTATTATTACTTTTATTTATTTATTTATTTATTTATTTATTTATTTTTTGCAGAACTGGGGATTGAACTCAGGCCCTTGCGCTTGCCAGGGAAGCGCTTATTCTACTGAGCCATTTCCCCAGCCCCACAGCTAGGATTTGAACTCAGGGAGTCTGATCTTAATTACATTAACTTGCTGTTCATGGGTGCAAAAGAAAATATCAATAGTCATTAACTTTTCTCTATCTTTTTCTGGGCTTTTAACTTGTTTTAGAATTTTGTTGATCTCTTTTTCATTAAGGAACTCGAAGACAGTACCAAGATGTGATTGTATCTCTGGTGAGGGAGAATGAGAGTTCGCACCATGGGTGGGCAGAGTGGGTTGCATAAACTAGCCAGCCCTTTGCTCAGAATTGAGTAGAGCCCCATGGGTCTCTGGGAAGAGGTTCCAGGGAGGCAGTTAAGAGTTCTCCAGGCCAGCCCTGATCCCAGGCCCACTCACCAGGCTGCCCATGGTCCCGGCTTCGCTGGATGTTAATGGCAGCCAGGTCAAAGCCGTGGATGGTGTGAGTCGGCTGGAAGAGCTTGTCGCGCAGCTCTCCTGTCATCATTTTATTCTGATTCATAACCTTGGCCTTCTTGGCCAGCAGGCCCCGTACCAGAGGATCAATTCCACCTGCAAAGACAGACCCAGAGGCCCTCCTTGGGGTGGGAGTCAGGTGTGGATACCTTCTGTAGTTTAAGAAGCACCAACTGAACATGCTCAGGGCAAGGGGAGTCTAGGCCTGACTCTGGTGGCAGAAATGGGGGCTTATGGGATGGCGCGGCAAATATGATGGCACTCTTAAATTCTAGTTCATGGACTTAGCTCCTTTTCTTCCCATCTATCCTCCTGGGAACACTGTAGCACAGGGAAAGGCAGAAGGAGCCTTAAGAAATGGCCCTGATTTGTCAGGCCATAAGGAAAGTCAGCCCCAGCCCAGGACAAACGAAGGTTGCTTCCAGAATTTGACACTTCATGGAGGTGGACAGCTCTGGAGGAGGGCAGGAAAGAGCCGCTTAGTTGCCAAGCCCGTGAATTCCTTCTCCAAAGGTCAGAGAAGCTAAGGTAGGGAGTGGAGGCAGAGAAATCCTAGACAGCTTAGAAGCAGGAAGGAAATAGTAACAACTGATATTTATCAATCACTTCCTGTGTGTTAGGAACACTTGTAGGGTGCTCTACAAGTCTACCTCAGTTAATTTTTTGGAATATCCTCATGGGTTAAGCACTATTATTGTCCCCATTCTTACAAAAGAGGAAACTGAGGCTCAGTGAGATGGATTCACTGGTGTAAGTTCATATAGGAGGTTGCGTGGGGTCTGACTCCTAAGCCAGGTTGCCCTATCAGCGGATTGCAAAGGGGGCGAGTCAAGGGAGCACTTTCTCAACAAGCCTTACCATCTTTGACCATCCTCCAGGTGTTGAAGAAGAGTTTGTGCAGAGGCAGCTCTGATTCTGGCCCCCAGGGCTGATAATTCTCATCTAGGCGAGATATAGTAGCAGGGACCTCCAAGTGGCCAAAGCGGAAAGCAAAGGTGAAGACATTGGAAATTCGGGGATCTACGGATTCGTTGTAGCCTTGGTAGGGAGGAATCCACTTCTGCATCTCACAGCCCAGCACGATGGGTAGGTAGTCCCTGAAAGTAATGATCTGAAAGGAAAAATAAGTCATGAGGAAAGGGCATGGGAAGGGCTAAACTTTTGTAGAGGGAAGCTCTAGAGAAACTGCCCCCAAGAGAGATAAGCTGTCAAAAATCGAGGACAGCAAACTGATAGTATCGAAGCCTTTGCCCCATAATCCGGTCTGGTGCTAATCTGGTCAGCCTGTGGTCCTGGCTGCGATGGAGCCTAGCGTCCCTTTGCACTGTAGCCTTGGCTCTTCACCAAGGAGACCCAGGCAGGTGGTTTCTGCTTCTCTAGGAGGTTGCTTAGCAACGGCAGGCAGCCAGTAAAGAACCTTCTTGCCCTGCAGAGGCACCAGCAGGATGGAGTGGGAAGCTCAGAACACAGGGGGATGAAGTGGGCCAGAATGGCATTCGGAGGGCTCAGGAAGCCAGGCTGCCACTGGAACGAAAACCCATAGAAGTAGCCCAGAACCTACACACTAACTCTGAACAAGGTAATGACATGCTAACATAGATTTAAATAGGATCTAGTATTTTCTAATATAATGGGCAAAGTGTCTAAGACACAACTGAAAAATCACCTCTAATACCAAGAACCAGGAAGACAGAATTTTGAGTGAGAAAAGACTGTAAGTAATGCCAATATCAATGTGAGTCAGATACTGGCATTATTTGATAAAGATTCTAAAGATCCTTAAAGATCCCTCAATAATTAGAGATTTTCTTGAAAAAAAAAAAAAACAGAATACCTCAATATTTCAGTAAAGAAGTAGAAGTTATTTTTTAAAAATGAAATTAGGGCTGGCCAGATAGCTCAGTGAACTAAAGTGCCTGCTTAGGAAGAGTGCAGTGGCCGGGGTTCAATACCCGACGTGCTGGCCCTGCCCCCAGGGCACACTGAGACAGCAATTGAGACTGGGCATGGTGGCGCACGCCTGTGATCCCAGAACTTGGGAGGCTGAAAACAGGAGGATCACTATGAGTCTGATCTGTGCAGTGAGTGAGACCCTGCAGTTCCTGTACTAAACACAATAAATAAATAAATAAAGAAAGAAAGAAAGAAAGAAATCATGGAACTGAGACTATCATACTTGAAATCAAAAACAAATTTGGATAGATGTCACAGCAAAATGGTAATGATAGAGGGTGGGGCTGAAAACAGAACAGCAAGCTTCACTCAAACTGCAAAGCAGAGAGAAATAGATTTAAAACATCTGAGTTGAGCATGGTGGCACATACCTCTGATCCCAGAACTCTGGGACCCTGAGGCAGGAGGTTCACAAGTTCAAGTGCAGCCTGCAAAACTTAGTGACTTGGCAAGACCCTGTCTCAAATATTAAAAACAAAGGTTGGGGGTGTAGCTTAGTAAGAAGTTCCTGGGATCAATCCCCAGGACTGTATCAAGCAGGCAAACAAAATGAAATAAAATGAAAAAATCTCCAGCAAACCAGAGCCTCAGAGAAAGTTTTAGTGTTCATAACAATGGCGTTCCAGAAGTAGAGAGGAGAGGGGGTGAGACTGAAAAAGTATTTTAGAAATAATGCCTAAAAATTTCCCCAAATTGGTGAATGACATACATTTATAGATAGAAGAAGCTAGATGAACTCTAAATAGCATAAATGCAAAGTAGTTCATTTTAAGACATAATTAAATTTCTGGGAATGAAATACAAAAAAATTTTAAAGGCAATCAAAGAGACAAAGGACTAATATCTTGAATATAAAGAATTTTAAAAAATTAGACCACACTCCCCTCCCCAATTTAAAGACTCAATAAAAAATGGGCATCTGGACTGAACAGACCCTTCTCAGATGAAGAAGTACAAATGGCCAATAAACACATGAAAAAATAATGTTAAACATCTTTGGCCATTTGAGAAATACAAGTTAAAATAATGCTAATATTCCACCTCACCATCTTACTCCAGAAAGAATGGATATTGAGAAATTAACCAACAAGTACTGGAGAGGCTACAAGGTAGAGGTGGAAGAAAGAATCCTTCTTCCAAACTGGAAACTATGTAATATCCTCCAATAGGGGAGTGGTTATACCGCAGAATGCTAGCCAGCAATAAAAGAACTATTGATACATGAGTTGGACGAATCTCACAGATCTTATGCTTAAGGCAAAAAGCCTCCCTCCAAAGGAAGCATACTGCAGAATTCAATTATATAGCATTTGTGAACTAGCACGACAACAGAGAAGGCGAGCAGGTTAGCATTTTCCAGGCGTCATTTGGTGGGGGTAGTTGTGACTATAAAAAGGTGGCATGAGAGTCTTGTTCATGTGGTTAAGTCATTTTTTATGGTGTTTTCATAAAGTTGCACATGCTTGCACCCACGTCCCCCGCACGAATGACTGTGTTTATAGCTGGTGAAATCTGAACAAGTTCAGTTTTCATCCCTTGGTTTGCGTCCATGTTAACTCCCTGGTCAACATTAGTTTTGCTGTTATAGAAGGCTGAATGAAGGGCACACAGATCTCTCTGTGCATTATTTTTGCAACTTTTTGAGAAGCTGTAATTATTTGAAAATAAACTGTTTTAAAAAGTGTATGTATGGTTAACGCCAGCCGAGCAACTTTGCTGAGACTCTTCAGGTTAGCCAGTCAGCCGACCCATTGAGTATGCCCATTTCATGTGGCTTAGGGGTAAAGAATGTAAAAGGAAAAGAATGAAATCAAAGAGCCCAAGTCACTGCCAGGTAACAGTGGCAGAGGTGGTGAAGCCTAGGGTCCCATCGTGGCACCACGGTAGGTTACACTGATGGGATTGACGCTACAAACACAAGGATTTGCTGTGGGGTAGAAGAGCCAAAGAAACGAAAGAAGAGAGGCGTGAAAGACTGTGGGAGAGGAAGGGGTGGGGGGCGTAGTGTGGCAAACAGGAGGTGGCTGAGGATGGACGGAGCTGGAGCAGGACGGGTGGCCAGGGCAGGGTGCCATGGTCTCTGTACCTGCATGAAGGCGCCCAGAATTTTCCGGGCTTCCTGGTAGAGTTTCTCTCCGTCCCACTGAGGGTTGAGCCTCTTCAGTTCTTGGGCCAGCCGGTTGTGCTCGCGGAGAAGGAGGGTGTGGGAAGCGGCCAACAGGATTTGCTCAGAGGCTCGGGAATCTCCTACAAGCCCAGAAGGCAAGAAGGTGGGATCTACCTGAGCAGCCCCTGGACCCAGGGACCTAACCAGAGTGATGACAGCTCCCCAAAGGACCCTCCCCTAAACTCTCCTTGGCAACTTAAGGGAAGTCAGGTGAGAGGGACAGAGGTGGCAATTCTAGGTTTGCATCTCATTTCTGTACACATACATTTTAGCTGTGTGACCTTTGCTGGGTTACTTAACATTTCCTGAGCCTCAGCCTCCTTATCTGGAAAATGGCAATTGAAAAGCCTACCACACAATTGTGGTGAGGACTGCAGGTAGCACGCTGAGATACAACATTTTGATCCTTATAACACAATCAAATAAAGGAGAGGGCACCTTCGTTTTGCAGGAAAACTTTGAAGGATTTAGAAATGAATTTTTCTGGGTAATAAAGGGAAAAGAATCTGGAGAGGTGGGTCTTTGGAGAGAAAAAGAGAGGAGCAAGGGGGGTGGGCAGTTAGGTGTTGAAGTTCAGATGTCCCACACGGGCACACTACCCTGCAGTCTCTAAGCTCCAGGAAGAACTATGGACAAGAAATTCAAGGAATCTATGCTTGAATAGACAGAGTGGCCTGCTGTCTCATCAGGATGGCTGGGGGACAGAAGCGGACCAGAGGGCACATGGCTGTATGCAGTGTGTCCAGGTTACAAGGAAAGTCTCATTATTTGCATCCACTCCTCTTAATCTAAATAGGCATATCCAACCTGTGGCTCATGGGGCATTTGAGTTTTTTTGGCTGTAACAAAAATATCTAAAAAAGAAGTTTTGTTACCTGTATACATTAACTACATTTGATATTTGATATGTGACCCGAGATAATTCCCTTTCACTCAGTCTGGCCCAAGTAGGCTGGCTGTGTCTAACTTGGGGGCTGTCGGTTGGACACCCCCATAAGAATAGTGAATACCATAGGATATGGTCACGAGAAGACATCAGGACATTATTTACAGTTTGACCCCAATTATATAAACTCATGCTTATGATAGGATACATCCTGGAAAGACTGGCAATGCAATGTTAACAATGTTCATTGGTTGTATGGTGGGGTTGTGTGTATTTTTTTTTTATTAACTTCCTTATTTTGTTTTGTGTTACGGTGAACACATATTTTCAGATTACTTTTTTTCTTCTGTACCCTCCTGCCAATCCTGGACCAGTGCCACAGACAGTGGTGGCTTGGTTCATTTTCTAGAAAAAATTCAAAGAAAGGAGCAGTGGTAAAGCCTCCCCAGGTAGCAGCCTTGTTCTCTTCCAGGCCTGCACTCACCAGCCAGGAAGCAGGGTACGTCAGCTGTGGTGCTGATGAGCTCACAGGGGCTTGGCCGTGTGGTGACAAAGGGCAGGTAGGGCAGCCCATGATCTGAGACTTCCTGGTTGACAGCCATGAGACCCAAGGGGCTGCTGAGGTTGCGCAGGCGGCTGGCCAGGCTTGGCTCAGGGCCGTACACCAAGCTGGCATCCAGGAAGGAGGTTAGGGCGTTGATTTGCTCTCGGGCCACAGACTGGTAGGGTGGAGTGGGGCAGACGAACCCAGCTCTGAAGAAAGGCATGCACTTCCCTTGAGTCTTCACCTTGGGGTCACTGGGTGGGAACTGCGGAGAGATTGGGGTGGCCGGCTGGGCAGAGACAGAACAACTGGGCCCCCCAGCCTCTCTCCAGATCTAGATGCAAAGACACTGATGGTGCCTCTCTGGGACCTTTGCACCAGACAGGGAGGGCAGATGCCCCCTGCTGACATTATACACCTTCTGTTGTGTCAAAGTCTGAGCCTTCATTCCTTTTCAGGGAGGGCTTTGAATTTCTGGTAAGGGACAGTGTCATGAGATCCCTGGACAGGGATGCAACACATGATATGGGAAAGAGTTGTTAGCAATCACTCCTAACAACAAGGACCTTTTCTTTACTTTGAAGCTACTATGGGCCAGGCATCTCACTTTGGTGCTCATAAAACGCTGAATGCCAGACGATGCCGTCCCATTTCGCATGTGAGAAAACTGAGGCCTAAAAGGATTAAGAAACTTGCTCAAACTGGAAGGGAAACAATGTGAGACTCAGATCCACAGCATGTAGCTGTGATTTGTTATCTGGGTGAATAAATAATTCTCCAGCTGCAAAATCCACACGTAAGAAGAAACAGTGCACACTGCCAGCCTCTCCCTTTCAACTGAACATTCCCGTAAATCCCTGCCCCCAGAGCCAGCCATGACATTTCACCTCCTTCTGGGAGATGATGTCATCCCTCAGGATCACCTAGAGCAGCATTCCACAAGCTTTATGTTGACGTCATCCCTCAGGATGATCTAGAGAAGCACTCCACAAGCTTTAAGTACATCATGAACCTCGCAGGGATCTTGGTGAAATGTAAAAGTCTATTTCAATGTCTGGGGGGAGACATGAGATTTTGTTCCTTTCCAATAATCCCAGATGGCACCAGTACTGCTGGGTCGTACAGGTAGGCCACCCTCCTCAAGCTTCCCATTTTCTCTCTAGTTCACTCATCCACTTCCCACTGGCCTCTGTCCTTGACAACAGAAATGGTGTCTTACTTCTGAGTCTCAGGGCTTGGTGTATTGTCTGGCACAGCGTAGATGGTTGATGTCTAATAACTCAGTAAGTGGATAGGTGAACCAGTGGGTGTGTGAGGCTCCCAAAAGTGTCAAATTCATACTCAAATCTACCAAGAGATACCAGCCTTTGGGCCAGGGATGTCTGCTAGATCAGGATGGGCAAGGGATTGGTCAGGGACATCCAGCAACAAGGGCCTACCATGATGGGGTAGCAGTTGCCTCCTTGTATACAGTACTCATCACACTGGACTTTGGAGAAGTCGCTACTCCCCATCTCAGTTTCAGGGGCAAAGTCCAGGTCGTGGTCCACAATTTGACCCCATTGCATGAAAAGGAGGGACCTGTCTTGGTCTAGAACACCCTCCTCATTCAAATAGCCGACGATCTTGTTGGATACTTCCCGGGCCTACAGAAGGAGAGAGAAGGGGAGGGCAGAATGCAGGTAGACATGCTTTGAGGATCCAACCACAGTTACTGAGTTCTTCTGACATAACAGATGCCAGCATCCCCAGAAGAGCCCGTGAAGCGGGTGGTATTATTTCACCTTGTAGAGGAGGGGACTGAACCCTACAAAGGCAATGTGTCAAGGTTTTACAGCTACAGAGAGGCAGGGATGGGACTGAACCCAGGTTTGTATGACTTGAGGGTGTGCAAGGCCAATGTCCTTTGCATTGTGGAGCCGGGAAACAAAGACATGCAGCCCCTGGAGCTAGGGCCTCTGAAGAACCAGGTGTCTGGGCACAGGAGAGGGGTCTCTGGAGAGGGGCTGCCAACTCAGATGAGGCTAACAGATAGGACCTCCAGGAAAACGACAGTTGACTCATTCTAGGGGCTGAGGCAAGGTCAGTGCGAGCAGGATGGGCAGGGAGACCATCTGCCCCTAGACCCCAGGGTATCTGGCTCGTGGCAGCTGGCCCGCAACCACTACGCGGCTGGGCTCTGCTGCCCTCTAGTGGTGTTTTGGGGGGGAACATCGCCAGGAAGCAAGTCTCCATCTCTTAGGGGGCTCCATAGTGCATCTCTCTAATCCCTCTTCTTTGCCTTCCAGTCCTTCACCCCACAGCCCAGCGTTGGTCCACCCCGTGCTCTTTCCTCACCAGCGGGACTGGGAAGCCGTTCCGTGTCTTCCCCGGTGTCCACCCGAAGGGGAGGGAGAGCCCGTCCTCGTACTCGGCCGGCAGCCAGCGAGCCAGCGCCCTGTTGGCAGCGCCCAGCGCAGGGTTCCTCCTGGAATCCAGCAAGGCCACCCTCAGTGGCGGAGGGTCAGCCCCGGGTCATTGCAGAGCCCAGGGCTCAGGGAATGGGGACATGCAGGAGGGACCTCTAAATTCTCCAACTGCTCCCTGGCGGTGCAATCTTTAGAGGGGTCCAGGAGAGCTCGGGGAATGGGGTGCAGGGGCTCTGCCTGGAACACCTAAAGGGCAGAGACCTGGCCGGGCGGGCCTGGGCAGCTGGCAAGAGCACCTCTCCCCCGCCAAGGTCACCTGTTGTTACAGTCTCCCGTGATGGTGCGGTAGGGGCTGTTCATGTCGCAGCTCACCACAGGAGCAGGGGCATCACAGCCCACCTCGGCAGACAGTGAAGTCAAGTCCAGGCTGGAGCCTGAAACAAAGGGGACCCCAAAGGGACTGAGTGCTTTCTTCGTTCTGAGTCACGGGCCAGAGGCAGAAAATCAAACCGGGGGTGTCATCACGGTGTTACCTGGAACGTGATAGAGATCTCTGTCTTGCAACATAATCCCAGTAAATCTACCTGACACAGTTGATTTACATGTGCCCTCCACTAACAGCCGTGGTGACACTGTGATTTGGAACAGGGAGCCCCTGTTTATTGACTTTAACGCTTCCTCCAGGCACAGGCCGCCCAGATGGTATTATACAGAGAGCAGCATGTCCCCTCACAAGGAGTTGGCAGTGAGATCTTGCTAGATCTGAGTTTCTTTGTTGGCAATAGTGCTGTGACCCAACAGTTCCCTCTGCATATCTGGTGCCTTCTAAGAAGGCAGACACAGGGGTGCCTTCCTTGTGGACATCTTTGACAGGCAGCACAGCCTGTGTGTGTGGGGGGGTCTCTGCTCCTTTCTCTGGGGAAGTGTACCTATCCTGCCATCAGAGGGCTGGTGAGTTTTCTGTACCTGTGGCATTGGTCAAGGGGGTCTGTGACCTCAGCTTCTTTAAGGACTCTTCCCACACCTGTCCCATGCGGATGGCTGTTCGCGCCCGGCCTTTGGCATGCTTGAGGTACTCCGATAGCTGTCTCGTGGTGGGAGTCTCCGAGGTCATGGCGGTCTTCAGCCTGTGGAGGAAAGCAGTGGGCACCCTGTGATGGTCCCTACAGAAGGGGCTGATGGGAGGTGGTGCATATATAGGAAGGAGCCCTGGGACATGGGTGGCACTCTTTTTAATTTTCTTCTAAGGCCTGTCTGGAAGATCTCTTTTGGGAACAGGAAGACACAGCGACTGTGAAGCCTTGATGGGTCTGGTTCCAAGAATAGGCAGGCAGGTGGACAGGAACATTTGGAAGCCCCAAACCAAACAGAACCTACAGAACCAGACTTGAGGAACCCTGATATATAGGTGGCATGTTATATGGCTTGTGGCCCAACTATTCTAGGAGTAGGATGCTTGTAGGCCTCCAGTTTTGCCTGTGGAAACATTCCCTCACTGACCTGGCCCCAGAGCTACTGTGGAGCTTGGGGCCAGAAACATTGCCCTGTTGCCAAGGACCTTGCAAAACTGCCCAGCCTCCCGCTTGAGTTCCATGCATAAAACAAAAAAACCATACTCTTGTATGACAAAGTTTGTGACTAAGGACAGGATGCTGTCAGAAAGGTCCTCCCATGAGAACTCTCTGTCCCCTCACTGTGCCTCAGTTTCCTCATGTGTGAGAAGATCTATGAGGCGTGTCTATGTCTGTGAGACTGAAATATTGGAAAAGGCTCAAATTCCCACAAAAGATGACCTGATTTTTTAATACGATTCACAGGCTGTAGTGTCTGGTCTGTTCACGACATGTCAGGTCATTATTTAAAGTGTTAAGAGGTACAGGTTCACAGTGTGAGGGGCAAGTGTGCAGAGGGCTGTAGTGGGCAGGCGTGTGGAGAGCTGTGGTGACCAGCCTGTGGATCTAGTCCTGTCCTAACCTCCCTACAGCCTTCATAAAAATAACTCAAGAGATAGCCACTCTGTCTTTTTGGTGCTGTTGCTCAGTAGCCCAGAGGGGTGGGATGAAGATAGTGAAGGAGATAGCTAAAGACTATCTTTATAGAGATTTTTACTGGAGATTTTCTTTATGGATCAGAGAATTTTCTTGGTTATAGAGTTGGCAGCTGAATTTTTGAGAGACTAGAAAAATGCCCAACTCTAAGGAGTTGGAGTTGCCCTCCTTAGACTCTCTCCCCTGGCTCTGCCCCAAGGAGGAAGGGTGGGTGTCCAAGCCCACTGGGCTCCCTGCTGTCACCACAGGTCCTAAGTAGTTCTGAGGCCAGGGAAGTAAGAAGCCTCAGTCTGTTTTCTAGTGGTGAGTCTTTAATTCCTAAAATGATACTGTTCTGAGGGCTAGAAGAGGCCCAAAGAGCCACCAAAAGAGTGATGGAAGGGTAAGCCAAAGAGCTCCGTGGCTTAAAATGCTTGCTTAGGCAGACACAGGGGCCGGGGGTTCAATCCCCGGTCCTGCCCTGAGACTAGGTGTGGTGGTGCGCACCTGTAATCCCAGCATTTGGGAGGCTATAAATAGGAGGATCACTTTGAGTCTGATCTATGCAGTGAGATCCCGTAGACCCTGTCCTAAAATACAGAAAAAAAAAAAAAAAAAAAAAGTGATGGGACCTATTTTGAGAATTTACTCAAGAACAGGCAGGGAGAATCCCAAGGTCTGCTGCTAGGGACAGAGTACGAGGAAACTTATAAGGCTGTTTTCTCTTCATGCCATGGTTCCTTTAACCCTAACCGTAACCCTAACCTTAGCTCCCAATGAAGGAATGTGGGCTCCCTGAGGGTGGGGCCCCGTCTGCATCGCTTACTTCAGGAGTCCTGGCCTCCTGCTGGGTGGAGGAGGCTGACTCAGCTGGTCCTTGGGATGTGGACAGCTGCTGGGTCCCTGGATGCAAGGAGAGGGTTGGCTCACCACTGCCCTGGCTGTTGCAGATGCAGGGCTCAGGAGTCAACACTGTAACCCAGTTGGGTTACAATGAGCCACTGGAGCTGCCTGGCTTGAGGGGGCAAGTGTGCATGCGGGTGGCATGTGGGCTTTGATGCCTCCCAGCCCAACCCTGAGGTGCACCTTACACTCTAGCTCTCTCTAGGGGCCCAGGCTGAAGTTAGACCTTGAACATCCTTACTTCATTTCTCTTTCCTGTCTCCAGCTGCCCTCATTCCATTCAGTCTGTGACAGCTTTCCCGAGATAGCTGCCCTGCGCTGGGTCCAAGACTGGGTACTACCTCTGGGGAGGCTGATACAGGTTAATATTAGTTGACTGCACAAAGAATTATGAGACTGGCACATGTGGCCCAAGGAAACAAGGAGCCACACACAAGAAAGTCCTTCCAAGACTATCAGATGTCCCTGAAAAGTCCTGGAGGGCTGGTAGATACGGTTGTCCTGAGGAGAAAGCCAGTGAAGGGAAGAACACAGAGGTGTGTGCCTGTGGGTCACATACGTGGCTCGGGAGTCCAGGAAGGCCTTGTTGACCTGGACCTTGGCCTGATTCACAGCATCAGAGATGGTTGAAGTCCTGGGGGTCCGTGCTTGAGGGTGCAAGGGAAGGAAACAAAACAGGGTATCAGACATCGCTCTGTTGAGATGCTCTTTGCTTCAAATCTGAGCAGGCAGAAAGAGAACAAGATTGATTGGAGAAGTTGCCCAAGAGGCCTGAATTAAGTAAAAGAGGCACAGAATGGGAAGAGCAACCCCGATCTTTCACAAGATGTCAAGCTGCCTTTTGATTCCTGGTGTCCAGCATAATCACTTAGGTTGGCTTGGGACACTGAGCTCTGGGGACTTTTCTGGCTCCTGGGGAGACAGTTCCATGAGCCCTTAAGCAAATCCATCAAAGCAATTAGTGACCACCAGGACCCTACTGAGGTAGCAAAGAGAGTGGATAAAGGTAGAGGCAGGATTCCTTGTTTAGGCAGAACCCCCTAATATTGGGATCTGGAATGGGGCCCCATTCTCTGAACAAGGAGAAAGTAGTACACTGAATAATGTCTACCCCAAACTTGAGAGCACTCGGAACCTTAGCATGTGACCTTATTTTTGGACAGTCTCTGCAGATGTAGTTAGTTCAGAGGAGGTCACACAGGACTGAGTGCACGCCGAATCCTGTGTTCTGCGGACACAGGGACAAGGAAGGTGAAGGCTGAGGCAGAGGTTGGGAGGAAGCAGCTCTGAGCTAGGAGCACCAGGGATGCTGGGGGTGGCCAGAAGCTGGAAGAGGCAAGAAAAGCTCCTCCACGAGGCCCTTCAGAGGGAGCACGGCCCTGCCGTGACCCTGCAGTACCTGATTCTGGACCTCCAGCACCCGGTGTGGGAGAGAAGACATTTCTCTAATCCTTAGCTCCTAGTTTGTGGTGTTTTGTCACAGCAACTCCAGGAGATGACAACAGTGGGACACTTACCACTCGTGGCGGGTGATGCAGCCTGGAGCCAGAGCAGGGAAGCCAGGAGGGCTGGGAGAGGGGGACGGAGCCTCATCACTGAAAAGAGACCAAGGCCCCCTGCTGTGGGTGCTGCTGGAGCTCCCAGGGAGGGACTGAATCCCAGAAAGGAGAGAATCCCAGAGCAACACCCAAGGTCCTGACACGCAAGGGCAAACGTTAATTCATAAGTATCCGTGTAAGCACAGGCCAACGCTAGGTACGGCAGCAAGAAAGGAAGCAAGGGTAGGAGGGAGAGAGCTCTGGCTTCCGGATCCGAGGCCTTGAGTTGCAGTTTTGAAGTTACTCTAACCAGCTCTCTGACCTTGGGCAGGTTATTCAACACCTTTGGGCCCCTGGCCCGCCTTGTGATCCTGAACGCCCGTGATCCTGAAATCCTGTGCTTATTTTGCCATAGGTGCGAGAAATGCCACTACTGGGTCCTGGAGCTCTCTCCCCTCCTCTCCTCGGGATGTTTTGCTTCCTGCCAGCCCAGTCTGCTCTGCAACACCACAGGGGAGTGTGCCTGGGGGGACACCCCTGCCTGTCCTCAGAAACCCTTGTTGTGCCTTCCTGAAGGAGCAAATCTGACGGACAGCTGTGACAAAGCTCAGAGGCCCTGGAGCCAGGACTGTGTCCTAGGCTGCCTGGAGTCATTCCAGCTGCTAGATTAATCCCTTTGCCATGGATTTTAACTATGAATTTAAATCATTCAACTGCTTGTCTTCTTCCTCTTTTTCTTTTCCTTTTCCTTTCTTTTTTTAATGTATTTGGCCCAGGGTCTAACTACACAGCTCAGACTCTTAGAGGTCCTCCTGTTGTCAGCCTCCCCAGCACTGGGATTATAGGCGTGCCCCACCACACCCAGCGCACCCAGGAGCGGGGCTGGCACAGCATGTGGTGCCGGCGATTGAATCCAGGTCCCTGTGCTTGCCTAAGCAGGGGCTTAGTCTGCTGAGCTATCTTGCTGGCCCTTTCTTTTCCTTCTGCAGTGCTGTGGCTTGAACCTATGGGCTCGCATGCCAGGTAGCCAGGGAAGTGCTCTCTCATGGGCTATTCCCACAGCCAGGGCAGCTTTGTCTCCCGATGAGGGACTACAGTGGGCTCAGTAGAGTAGGCCAGAATTACCTTTTGAGAAGGTCCTGGCGAAAGCCCGAGGAGGTTCAGTTGCAGATCTGCATCCAGACCAGTGCTAGGCAGGCTCCTCATGTTTACAAGAGTACCTAGCTTCTCCCCTCAGCAAGGCATTTGCTAGAAACTCACAGGGAGCCCTCCCCCAGATGATCCTCCATATCTCCCCAAAGATCACAGCTTGGAGGCTTTGCTGGAGCCATGACCCAGCCCACCTCCCAGACTCTCTGGTGACTACCCCAGGGGCCAGCTTAGACAGGAAGAAGAGAACCGCACATCTAGACCAAGCCCTTTCTGCCTCTTCTTTTTCTTTTTTTTTTTGGTGGAACTGGGGATTGAACTCAGGCCCTTGCGCTTGCCAGGGAAGCGCTTATTCCACTGAGCCATCTCCCAGGCCCCTGAGCCATCTCCCCGGCCCCCC